CTTAACTTAATAAATGTTGCATAAATATAATATATCAAGTTTAATTAAAATTTGACTAAATTAAAATACAATAAAAGAGTTACATGAATTACTTCAAGTGTCATATGCATTTTTAGTTGTACAAACATTAATTTTAGTAATACATAACCGAAACAAAATATTAGAGAATTACACAAATAGCTAATCAAAGCAAAACATTGGAAAATTATAAAAGTAACTTCATCTAGCATTGCCTCTGAATGATGCCCACATTTGATTCGTTAGATGAGTTCGAAGGGCTCTCATTTGTGCTGAACCATCATCAGATAAATTAAGTGCATTTAGTACACCAACATTGCTACTGTTACCATTCCCCCCATCAGTGACATTAACATCTTCTTCCCATACTCCATAAAAAATGATTATCTAATATATTTTGACGAATGAAATTGTGAATGACGCAACATGCAGTTATTATGAGTCGTTGTCTAACCAACTTATAACAAGGCATAAGCTTTAAAATGGGAAAACAAGCCTTTAGTACTCTAAAACAACGTTCAATGACATTGCGAAGTGATGAATGCCAATAGTTAAACAATTCATTTGCACCACGTGGTTACTGATTGTTACCCCTATAATCTTGTAGATGATATCTTTTACCACAATATGGAGGCAAAAATCCTTTTGTGCATGGGTAACCAGAATCAACTACATAGTATTTCCCTGCAAAAAATTATTTAAATTTTATTAGGGTTAGTAGCATGCTATTATTAATATTAAAAGACAAAAGTAATAGTAATACCATTAACTGGTATCGAGAATCGTGCAACAGCTCTAGTAATTGCATCAATAAAAACTCTCGAGTCATTTGCCATATCCATAACATCAAATAAGCAAGCACACATAACATTTTATGTCACCATAGACTTTCTTCCTTTATACGAAGTTTGTTTGCTGGCATGTGCAAAAGCACTTATATGTGTTCCATCAATTGCTCCAATGCAATTCTTAAACCAAGGATAGTATTTAGGATTATGAAGTATATGAGAAGGCACATTATTGCTTTGTGATGGACATATGAGGAATTTCCTAAGGCGACATATTGCTCTCAATACGAGCTTAAAATGTCTAGAAACTGTTTCGCCAGAATGTTGAAATCGTTTAGCTACCACCGCATGACGAATATTATATCCCATAATGAACAAAAACATTGCAATTGACTCCTCGATTGAAATTGTATGTGTGTCTTCCAACAATTTACGTTCTCTTAATATTCGACATAATTTTAGAAAGACTTCTCTATTCATTTGTAATAAATCAAAACATCGACCAGCATGGTCATTCAACAATTCCTGAACATACTTATGACCTGTCAACCCTGAAGTTCTCTTTGGTACCTTGGATTTAAAGGAATCTCCATACTCCTGCATCAAATTTATATACATACAATCTATAAGGTCATCAAAATCTTTATCTGAATCACTAGATGATGAAGACGATTTGTCACTGCAATCTGTGTCCATCTTAATTTTCCAAGAATCTTAACAAAATTTCAATAAGCATTATAAATTAAACATAGTAAAAGATATACCAAAACAATATATATAAATGCCTTAATCATACATTAATCACATAGGAATAACTCATCATTCCTTGTTTCTAGTATATATAAATGCCTTAAACATGTAATTGATTATGCTATTATGAATAAAAATGGTGAAAAGACAAATATAAAATAACTAAAATATGTTGTGTGATTATACTTGTTGGGTGCACGAACCTGAGTATGGATATACATTGACAAGCGTGATTATTCCTTTTTTACTTCTTTCCTCAGTGGTTGACTACACAAACCTGGTCAATATTATTTTGTAATATTTGTTTTATTAATCCAGTTAACATTACGCATATAAATGATTTGAATTCTTTCAGTTCTACAAATCTGCCTTATGTAAAAATACTGCAGAAACTAAGTGTTACCCCAAATTTTATTTAATCCAAGATTTTGGGTAACAATTTAATTGATAGCTAGTGATTATTTCTATTTGAAACTATGTATGGAATTTGTAGTACTCTCTCAATATGAAACATCTCATTCATAGCATCCAAGGATGAAGCATTATCACTGAGACAAGATTGGACACGATAAGCTACAAATAAAGTGAGATAATTTTTATTTTTCATTTTTGAAAAATAGGATACACATACAGTTTACAACAAGGAACATGGAAATATATGTGTATAATTGTGTGTGTGTTGGATTAATACAGATATGTACACTACAAAATATATATCTATATAGGTATAAATTAAAAAGAAAAATACTTTGTATGATATACATATTACTACCATTTTCTTTTTAGAATAAATTAAAAAGAAAAACACTAGTTTTGCAAACAAGATTAAGCCTTTACATAGTTAAGTCATTGATAAGTGATCACAATAAAAGCAACACCCTATGTTTGGAGGAAAATCCAGGATGAGTATTTTGCAATTTGTCCTCCATGATCTGTAAACCCATTATATAACATCTCTATCCTCGAAGAGGAGGGGAGGGGAGGGGAGATCGGTGTGGACAAAAAATTGTGTGTAGGCTACGCTACAATTAGAGGAGAGGTCTACAATTAGGATTGGACTACACCATCTTACATTCTTTTTTATTACAGGGCTTAAAAATTTTGATACCAGCCAAAGCAGAACCTCGTTTCATACAAAATTTGCACAATGCTGTATTTAAAATCTCCATTAATTTAAGCCCATTAACATTTGGTTGGATAGAGAAAGAGAAGTCCACCAACATTTGGTTGGATACAGCCTATTAGATATAAGGATAGAGCAGGAATAGGAGAAATTTTGGACTTATTTTGTAATATTTGTTGAATTGGGCTTTTAAATTCTGTAAATTTTGATTGCACTAAAGAAGAAGATGTACCAACACTTTCCACAAAGAAAAAGAAGGTTCAGTATTCTAAAAACCACAAATCCCTAAACTGTAAACTGATTGAAAACCCAAATCCCTAAACTAAAAACCACAAATCCCTAAACTAAAAATCAAATCTATAACAAAACTCACCCAACCAACAAAATCCATAATTAAATCTACAACCAAACTCATCCAAAAAACAAAATCCATAACCAAAAACTTGCTTCAGAAAAATACAGATTTATGCTTACCTGAACAGATTGAGCTTGAAAAATTCTGAGTAAGAGTTTGGATGCAGAGGAGAAAAGTGCAGTGTTGCAAGAGATCTTGTATAGAGAAAAGGAGCGAGATGTCGGGTTCATTTAAGGTGATGCAGAGCTTTTTCGTGAAGGAGACGAGAAGGATTGAAGGAGGCGCAAAACTGTTATAAATGATATAGGTATGGACCGCTTTTTTAAGTGGAGAACGGTGTTCTCCGCATGTTCTCCAAAATAGCAAAAACAAGTTTGAGTTGTTCTTAGAAAACTGCTACTCATAGGACTCTTGTTTTGAAAAAACTGTTTCTAAAACATAGTTCCAAGTTGACCATTTTTTTTCAAGAACTATTTTTTGTAACTCTCAAAACAGAAAATTGTTTTGGGAGTTCCATTCCAAGCAGGGCCTTAGGCCGTGCTTGGTTTGTAGCTCTGACAATAATTTTCTATTCTCAAAAAATCTAAAAATAGAAAATTATATAAAAAAAACTCTACATAGTTCAGTTTTTTGAAAATTCAGTTATAAAAATGTTTGTTATAGATAATTGTTTTTTATTCTTTTTTAAAAATTGTTTTCTTTTCTCTAAATTTTTTAAGAAATTTTTTTGAGAATTACAAACCAAGAAACTCCATTTTTTTTTTTTTTTTTTTGTTAGAATTGTAATTTAAAGTACAAACCAAATATATCTAATCAGAGAGATTATGAGTACGAACATAACCTTAAAGCTTTTTAATCCATTCGTGTTTACACCTTGAACACTGTCACAGGGGTAAATTCTGAACACGAATCTAGTGTCCTGTGATGGCACTAAGCCAGAAATATGAACAACTTTTCTCTGAATTTCTAACTTAGCTCAACCAACTCACACTTGCTGCCTAAAACACAAAGCAAGTAAAACACTCTCACACATAAGTATAACTGCAAGAATGTAAAGACAATAACATCCACAAATTTACAGAAGCACAAGGCTTCCAACCTTTTACTATTATTCACAAAACAGTATAAGGAAATGCCTCAACCTGCAGAAGCATACAAGAGTCTTTCACAACACAGCTCTGTGCCTCACTCTCAATCTGCCCTCTCTACTGAACCCACATTAACAATATATAAGCAAACTCTCAAAACTGCCAACTAAAGTGGTGGATGACACCCTCGTCCACCCACAACTACCCACTAAAGTGGTGGATGACACCCCCATCCACCTAGGGTCATGTTGGTACCCACTAAGTGTGCCAACATTACATATGTAGTTAACAAACCCAACTACTAGCTTGTTGGCACGCTCTGCTCATGCCACTTGTCCACAGAAAGTTACACATTATGTGCCACCTTCTATATATCAGCATAGTGGAAGAAAACCGACTCTAACCACCTGTGTGTTGTCCTCTCAGATCTGTGCCACATGCATGGGAAGTTACTCAGCACACCCCTACTCCCCATAATATATGCATATGAGTGGGAAGTTAGGAAGTTACTCAACACACCCCCACTACCCATAATATATGCACACTTGTGGGAAGTGTTAGTAACTTCTCCCAACCAACTGAGCCCACTTAGCCATCTTCTGTAACCATAAGTCATGACTTGTGTGGTTCATGCTTTAAGCAACATTTGAGCCAATCTTGTGAACCTAACCCATGCCAAGCTTACTAATCTGTACCCACATATAAATGTCTCAAAGTGCACGACATCCAAAACGAGTGCCGTCTGCGCCAACCATCTTTTATGAACTCAAGATACCCCTTATAAAAATCCTAAGCCAAAACTCCAAGTTTCACTTTTTCACCATATTTATGAAAATATCATTGAGCACCCCCAGTGCACGCTAACAGTATCGCATAGCTGTGAGGGGCTTGTCAAGTTCCAATCCCGTAAGACACCCCAGAACACTTATCATAAGAAAAAAAAAATAATAATAATAATAAAAAAAAAAAATTTAACAAACGTGCTTTTTCTTTTCAAAAAAACAGCATCATTTCTCAGTTGGCACCTGTCTGTGTTCAAAAGAACAGGTTACAAAAACGTACCCTACGAAGGTCTAGAGGCCGGAAAGCATCGTGGCGGTGCAATGTCGTGCGGCGACGACCTCCCCGTAGAGCTACTGGTTGCCATACTCTATCTACTCCCCGCAAAGTCTCTCTGTCGATTCAAATGCGTATCCAAGGCATGGTATTCTCTAATCTCACACCCTGAGTTCGCCAAAAGACACCTCAATCAAAACAGCAACAACACACCCGAGAATCTCATTCTCGTTTCTGACCATCTTTACTCGGTCGACTGCACTGAAGCCTCCATTAACGATTCTGTACAGGCAACGGAGCTTGATTTAGGTTTCCGACCCATTGTAGACCATTACATGTTCCAAATCTTGGGTTCTTGCAACGGTTTGGTTTTAGTTAGCACCGAATACACCATCAAGTTTTTGTTGAATCCATTAACTAGAGAGGTAGAGAAGATACCCAACTCCCCCTTTTTTTTCGACTCAATGGAAATTTACCATATGTACGGACTTGGGTACGATTCATCTGCAAATGATTATAAGGTTGTGGCAATTGATTTTAGAGAAGATATTGGTAATGATGATGATGATGAGGATGGTGATGATGATGGTGAGGACGACGACGACGACGAGGAGTCCTGGTGTAATCGTATAATTTTTAGTGTGTATTCACTGAAAACTGATTCTTGGAGGAGGATTCAAGATGTCCCCCACTATCATTCTCGTGATGCGCCGCCGCCTACATTGGTTCTTGTAAATGGGTGTTTACATTGGTTCAGTTTCAGGTCTTCCAGTTATGTGATTGCTGCTTTTGATTTAGCAGATGAGAAATTCCGGGATGTGCAGATACCTAGCTCACTTGACAACAATCATTCTAATTATGATTTGATGTACTGCAAATTGGGGGTTTTGAGAGGGTGTCTCTGTATACTTGTATCTCATACGGATATTTGGGTGATGAAGGAGTATGGGGTGACCGAGTCTTGGACCAAAATTTCCAGTGTCTGTGGACATAATACGTTTATGATTGAACCCTTATGTTTATTAGCGGATGGGGAGGTTTTGTTTGAAATATATGAAGAAAAATTGGTTGCATTCAATGCTAAAGAAAAAGCACTAAGAGATGTAGTGGTGTGTGGCATTCCAGATATGTTTAAAGCAGGGATGACCTTTGTGGAGAGCCTTGTCTCACCCTATCGCTGTGATGGGATTGAATACTTGAAGAGTTATCAACTAGATAGGTAAATATGATTCTATTCTATCTTCTTCTGTTTAATTTTCATATACTCGTATTATATATGCCAACATAATATGGAATTTTGAGTATCGGAAAAACCGTAAAACAATGTATTCATTCTTTATTCTTGAGTGATTCAATTTCTAGTTTGAAATTGAATTATATTTTTATAGGTCTATAGTGGGGTTCTATGTCGTTGAACTTAGATTTCTTCTGTAAGTAGTGAGGGTCCATACATTGTAAGAGTGCTACTGTTCTTTGATGCATTTCCAAAGAGAAAAGTAAAGTTCAATTGAAACAGTAGTTTGGTCTTCAGGTTTCATTTTGGCCCATTTCTGGTTGAATTGTGTATGCCGTCTACTTAATTCTGAAATAATTGAAGATATGATTTATGCATTACTAATTTTTTTCATTCCATTATAGCCCCATCATTTGGAATTCCATGCCTGATGGTCCTTCGAAAGTAGCTTCTTCAATGCTTGCTTGCATGCAAATTAAACCATAAGAAGAAGTGGGCTTTCTGGCTGATGTAGTACTAGGTGAAAGAATTCATTGAAGTCATGAGTTGTTGACTGACTTGTATTTATGAGAAAAAAAAACAAAGAACGATTAAGAATAAGAATATGCATGAGTTGTCGGAGAGAGTAAATATGCATGAGTTGTCCTAAAGTCACATCCAAAATATGCTCTTCATTCCCTGAACCAATTTTTGGATAAACCATCGGCAAACGGAGAACGAGGATCATATGTTTGAGTTATGGTCGGAGTGAATATATATAAAGAATTGCATGAATGTGTGGATATTTCATTTAGGAAAAAAAAAAGAATGTGTGGATATTTCTGTTCTTGGTGAGTCCTATAAAGTTGATGTGCTCTGTGTCAATCAGAACAGTCCAAGAGAAACCATCCAAAAAATCTAATCAACTACAACACCAGTCTATTTAACATGTTTGTTCAAATGGTGATATCAATGATTGAAGGCGTTAGGATTCATGATGCATATGGTGATGTTGGAGGTAATGGTGGTTTGTTTTTTCTCTTCTATTTAGAGTTGCTTGAATTGTTGCAACTTAGTAAAAAGAAATTTTCATTTTAAGACCACAACCATAATAAATTATTCTTTTCTATCAAAAGATTATATCAAGAAAGACTGGTAAGTGAAAGTGGGACTTTAGACTTTTTTTTTTTTCTTTTTTCTTTTTGGTTATTTATTTATTTTTTAATTTTTTATATGGCCATAACATTTTCTCTCGCTATTTAAAATACCTTATGAATGCAACTTTTGTTCTTGGATCAGTGACACTCAAGACGGTGAAAGTCATCTAGGCAATTCTCATTTTGAGGTAAATTCCATATTTGAAATAACATACCCACACATACTTTATTTATAGCTTTATTTTGTTGATGTTATTATGTGCTTTTTTATTCTATTCCTGTTAGGAGTAGTTCATATATGTATATACATATGAAAATTGTGAATGCTTGTTATATAGATGATTTGCCTTTCAAGCTATTTTGTGCATGCTAGTTCAAAGCATCTAATGCGTTATTTTATTTTATTTTTTGTTAGAAGTAGTTCGTATATTTATGTAAATAAGCAAGCAATTTTTGAATTTTTTTTTTTTTTTACATAGTTAACATGTAATTTGCCTTTTTGAGGTGGCATAGCATGTTCTTTTCTAAATGCTAATGTGCAGTGCTACATAAACTTCTAAGATAGACTTGAATTTAATGCTAACTTCTTCAATTGGATTCTTTTTATCACTACCAAATTTTAATTAGTAGAGTGGTCACGGTCTAGATATATAATCAGACTCGTTATTTTTATTTACAATGAACTTAGTTTAGGTTTGTGTATCACTTTACTGGAAGTAGTCACTTATTGTTGAATAACTCAACAAGGAGCCATGGATAAAGGCTGAATACACATTCTTAATATGTTATTATAACCTAAATAACCTTATGCACAAAAGTTTAGACATTGTACTTGTCATAATGAAAATTTGAGTTCTCAATTGTAGAATTTAAATGAGTATTTAAATGGAGCATGAAGATTTGCCAATTGGGCTCAAGATAATGCAGGGAATCCAGATAAGATTATACGTCCTTGTAAACATTTTTAAATTAACAATATTCAACACTTCAATATAGTGTACGAGCACTGAATGCTAAACATAATGGATTTGCATACTCTATATGGGTCTTTCATGGAGAGAGTCAAAGTGCACATGTATAAAATGAAGGCGATTAAGATGGTGTGGAAATGCCTGAAATGTATGGGTGTTTAGAGATGCATATTTTGATGGTGAAGACAACGATGCTACAAAGCCTACTTATGGAAGTATATCCTGATTGCGCGAAGTAGACAATTATGTCAGCAACGGTTGCTTTTATGTAAGCACAAAGTTGCTAGACACTGGATTTGATGAGCTTCTTAAGATTATTCGTGATATTCTTTCGCCAAATAACAAATATTCTGAGGGTATCTATGCAACAAAAGAAGTTATTGAAGATTGCTTAGAAAAGAAAATGAGGATATGATTGCATGCTCAAAATTTGGTGCTTCACAGTGGAAAATGACCGCACATACTAAGAAGCTTTTAAATGGGATTCTGGCTAAGGTGTTGTGGTACTTTTCAATAATACCAAGATTTAGGAGATTATTTCGATCAACTGAAAAGGCTGAACAAGTATTGTGGCATTCGACTCATAAAAGTGAGACAAAAAGATGCAACATCCAGTTGACTATGTTGCATGGGATACAATATATATAAAGTGGCCGTGTTTTACATTAGATCCTCGAAAATTAAAGCTTGGCCTTGAGGCTGGTGGGTTTAATCCATTTGGTGACCTTAGCTCTCAGTATGTATAGATGTTGGCTAGGGATTTAAGTTGTATACATTCTTCCCCCGTTGCTTTGCATTAGGGAGATTTGCACACAACGGATTCAGGATAGAAACGTTACTCTCCACCAACACCACATACATTATCAAAGAAAGAGAAGCAACCTTTTTTTTTTATTTTTTATTTTTTGTGTAGCAGGTTACAACAGTTGAAATTACCTGATGGATGGTTCAAATATTGGGCAACATGTATCAGTATATGAATGCAAGATTAGTGGCCTAAAATCCCATGATTGTCATGTTTTAATGCACCAATTACTTCCTGTAGCCAAAGACAGAGCCAGTGTAGGCTCAGGGGGGGCATGTGCTCCCTAGCTCGGCCCCCACCCAGAAACATATATATACACTTTTTCTTTCTATGTACATATATATGAGAAACTGTGATTCTTGCTCAAAAAACAGGGCAAACGCGTTCGAATTATTGGCTTGTCTTCTTTGATTTCATATTGAATATAGATCCATGTCTTTCTTGTTCCGATGAGAAGAATAAAGAAGGTGTTAAGAAACCCCCCCGGCTCAGGCCTAGACACTCTAAGATCCTTTTTGAGACAAGATATGCCTTATTTGCAAGATGGAAGACCTATTTGTTCCCCAAACAAGGACCCTAGAGGGGGGGAGGGAAGGGGGGCGGGGGTATGAGGTTGTGGTGATGGTGAATTGGGTCATTGAACAAACTATGGTAAATTTTTCAGATTGATCCAACCATGGATCCTATATAACTTAATCACTTCATAAAATGATTTAAGATGTTCCTTAGGAAGGTCCATCTAATACCATCCTAGTATAACTCTAAAGTCCAATTATTCTGATCATTAGAAGAGAACAATGACTAGACCTTTCTAGGGGATGGATGTTATGAGTTAGACAAACTCATGACCCTGGTTATCTTGCTTAAGGTAATATACATCTTATCAACTTATGATTCTTGTGTATACAGTGTAAAGACGTCTTGTATAACTTTCTTAATTTGTTTAATAGAAGACTTATCTTTTAACTTATCTTAGAAAGAGTTTAATGATTAATTGAGTAAGTGTATGATTTAAATTAAACATTTTAAAGAACTATGTTTATTTCTGTTTTGCTTTTAAAGAATAAATGAGAGATTATAGATATAAATAAATTAGCTAACATATATCTTTACAACATTAAGTAGATCAACCCTAAACATAATTAATTAATCATCTAACAATGACATAAAAAAGTATGTTAATTAAAATATACAATACATTCAAAAGACAATATCATTACGACTTTAATGACTTTAATAAACAATTAATATACCATATGAGGTTAAAAGTTAAAGAAATGCAAACCAACTAACACCTTGGGTTTTTACATTGTTCGTTACCATCATCGTCACCTACATTCGTGACTTAAGAGGACCTCTTGAGGATTCACTAACTGCTTCTCTTTGGGTGACAAGAAAACGCCCCTTTTTGCAAGTTGAAGAGTAAGTCACTCCTTTTTGGGTCTTCCAAGGTACAAGAGCACAACCCTCCTTGTTTTTAAGTTGCCAAGGGTCATCTACTCTTTCAAGTCTCAGAAGTAACCCATTTTTTTTTTTCTAGTTCAGAAGTAACACATTTCAATGCTCCACAAGCAACCCATTGCCAAGCGAACCACCTGGACTTCAACTCTCAAAAGGTTTGAGGAAGTAACAATAGGATTGTCCCTTAATGGACATTTACATGATTTGCTCACAACCTAGAGTCGTGGAAGAAGTAAATCATAGTAAAAGCTCGACTCTAGAAATGCACGATGAACCATATGAAGTGAAGCATGTGGGTGTTTATATGTGGTTCATGATTCATCTGATGAGAGAATTTGTCCATAAACTGGATTGGATAAAAATAACTATCATAAGTGTTCCTAACTGTGGCGTATCTCAATCATCGGCATTCTGTGAATCACTTGCTCACCTATTGGAGTTCCTTCGTCTCTACCCAATTTCTCATTCTCTCACACAGAAGAGTACTGGTCTAAGTACTCTGTTTCAATCACACTCAACTACACTAGGCTGGTTTCTGCACTTGATTTTGTTGTCAAGGGCTTATTCGTTATTACTTATATAATGTTGGGGCTTATATGTAATTTCTGAAACTTGTTATTATAAATAGAATGTGGTGGAAGGATGAAAGTATTGTTTCATTCTTTCTCTCTTTCCCCATCTCTGTCTCTTTTTCTCTCATCCGTTTTCTTCTCTTTTTCTTCCTTTTCTTTATCACTTACTCTTGATTCGATTATATCTTAAAGTCAACATGATGTCAGAGCATGGTTTGTAAAGCTCTAGGTGTGTAGTTGAAACCCTAGGGCAAGTTTGTGTAACTAGTGGGTTTGAAGGGTTTTGAAGAGATTCCAAGATGGGATTTGTTTGCAAGGAAGTAATGTTAATCACATCCACGCGTACCGCGACTTGTTTTTTTTTTTTTTTTATCTATTGTAGTCTCGATTAGTGTTTTTTTTTTTTTTGTGTTCGCGAGGTTGTGCAACAATGACTTTTTTTTCGTCGTTCGCGATTTTGGTATGGTCTACTTTGTTGCTTTCTAGGGTTTGTGTGGTGACTGTGTGGTCGTTTTTTTATGCATCTCAGAAGACGGTAATCTTTCTAGTTGAAGTTTGTGTGTTAGAGAGGTGGTTCTCTATGTATTTTGTTGCTGCTTTTGTTTCTGAGGATTGTATACCCAGAAACTATTTGATAAAATGTCTGGTTGTTGCAGTCAATGTAGCCACAGATCAACAAAGGGTTTCCATTTGTGAAAACAGCTGAAGAGCTATGGACGACTGTGGAAGAGACGTATTCCTCGGTTGGTAATTTTGCAAAACTGTATGAACTCCAATAACAGATTTCAAGATTCAAGCAGGAAGACCAAACTCTTGCTACATATTACCACACTGTACGTGGTAAATGGGAAGAGTTAGATCACTACTAAGACTACATACCTGTGTGTGTAGCTGATGTTAAAGCATTTCGTGCTATGGTAGAAAGGAATTGAATCTATGAGTTCTTGGGTGTTCTGCATCCGAGATACGAGCATGCGAGGGTACAAGTATTAGGCAGGTATCCAACCCCTACTTCTGTTAGAGATGTGTTTTCGTATATCCAGGCCGAGGAGAGTAGAATGAAGGCTATGTTTGCACCTGCATACACTAATCCTGAGGCAGAAGTACCATTGTCTGAGAGGTCTGCTCTCACACAACAATGGAACAAGCCCAATCCTCCAAAAGGAGGGAAGCAGGATGACAAGAGCAAGTTGAGGTGTGATCACTATGGGCGTACGTGCCAAACTAGGGAAACATGCCAGAATCTACACAGTCGCCTTACTCCAGCTCCTGCTCATGCGAATGCTAGGCAAGGCCTGGTCCATTTAAGGGGTTATCTGCGACACATACTGCAGAGCGTGAGACTGCTTCCATTGGTCATGCCTCCTCAGTACCATCGA